ACAACTCTGAGCTATTAGTTAAGTTCTCCCCAAGCGAGCTCGATGGGCCGAATGGCCTCCTCTCGTTTGTATAGTTCTTATGTTCTTATGTTCTTATTGGTAAGCAGTCTTATCCACAAAGGGCCAGTGTATATTTGCGTTTTGGGGATAAGCTTTAGGTCAGCTGTGAGGTGTGAGAACTCTTCAGCCAATCAGTCCTCTAATTAGTTATTTAATTACAGAGTTGCAGCAAAAACCCACACACAGCGGCCCTTTCTGGATAAAATTGCCCCTCGTCTAAAATGTTGATTTTACCTCTAGGGTAGTTAATCAGTTGCAAAGCAAAACAATTGAGGTAATTAATATGCACGGTGAGGGGAAAATATGTGTAACTCAATAGCACATAACTTTTTCAGCACATTTTTAACTGATGAGAAAATTGAGCCCATGGTCAAGAATTATTAATGCCAATGCAATTTATGTTATTTAATTACAGCTAATGCATTGCTTACTGTGTACATCATGGTTTCCTAACACCTTTTTAAAAATTAGTGCTTGCTGTAGAAAATATTCAGCAACAGAAAAGGTGGCAGTAGGTAACTCCTATAAATCTCAGAAATTTGATACTGTGTACATTCCTTTGAAATTATATGATAAATCTAAAAGTATACAATTACTGTCATGTGTTCATTCAGCTTATATACACTTTATAAAAGCTGTATGCAAAAGATCATTTTGATAAACAGAATGTAACCCCCTATGTGGCAAAATCCTGCCTGTATCTGAAAAGATGTACACTTTCAGAATTGAAAAAAATAACAAATTAATACGATTATACAATGTAGTTGTAACTGTCAGCATCTCTTGCAGGGAATTAAACTGAAGTGGTGTTGCTGGTATTTTTTATAGGTGTACAGTATGTGAAGGCAGTGCAAATACTATTGCATTTCATAGTCAATCTACTGAGATCCCAGATTGTCCAGAAGAATGGGTGTCTCTTTGGACTGGCTTTTCCTACATTGTGGTAAGTATAAATGCTGTAAGTATAAAGCATTCTTATGCTGGTAAGAATTAATATTGTGAACAAAAGGTCAATGTACAATTCTATGCAAAATTCCTATGTAATCAAACAAAATTGTTTAAAATTTTGTTGTAAAGCAGTGATATTATGCCTTTAAAAGTGTCAACTTAGCCATATCAGAACCTGTCCTAAAATCACCCCAGTGTAGAAAAAATTAGCTCAAATAATTTGTCTCCACCACTATGTAGGGAAATTAATCATCAATTAATTAATTATTAATATAAGTTGATGAATATGCTTGAATAGTGTGTTTCTCCAATAAACAATATTATGGAAGTCCCAATCAGTCGGTTCCTGGAAGATTTAGTTCCAGGATACGATGAAATTCATTATTTACAATATTACTACTTAACCTGTGTTAGAACATTTGTCCCGCAAACATAACTCTCACCAGGGATGTACGGCCGTAGAGAGAGTCTCGTGGTACTTTAGGAAAAGTTTGGAACTTTTAAAAGCTTAGGGCAGTTCGCACCAGTGATTTCATTATGAGGCAGAGATCTCTCAGCCAGAGATGTAAAAAGCATAAAAGGCATGCATTTATTTCTAACACTACAACTAACACATGGCAGACATTACACTTAACATAAAACAGCACTCTTTGTTTCACCCTCATCAGTCGCTGAGTGCATCACCCCAAGACTAGGGGTACCAGTTTGCTCTAAGCTCAGACCCTTTGAGCCAAGGCCCAGATTGTTCCTAAGTTTCCAGATGTCTGAGCCATAAAACTTGGAATGTTGGCCTTCCTTTGCCTTGGAATCTCAATCGCCTTGTGAGTGTGTGTGTGTGTGTTTGTTTGTGTGATCCTACACCAATATTTGCAGCCACCATTCAACACATCAATGTATATTTGTTGACTTGACCACTAGCACACTATGATTGCCTGATTAGTGCATCTTATTATTTAACTAATTAACTTAATGAAGTGAGCTGGTGGTGAAATTAACTAATACAGTGGTACCTCAGTTCTCTAACTTATTAGAACTCAAATTTATTAAAAGTCGAACCAACCAGTTCGAAAAAAAATTATCTAGAGCTCGATCTGAGTCTCAGAAGTCAAACCGTGAACGCCGACCAAAGATAACTTGTACGTGCGGGGAAATGCGTCACGCAGCATGTCTCTCAGCGGAAACAAAGGGTAATGCTTCAGTCTCAGCCTCACATTCGTTGTGATAGCATCGTGCATGTTTACACTAGCTGAATACATATATTTACACAGTAAAAATACATTTAGACAATGATAGTAACAGTAATTATTATAATAAAATACATTTAAAAATAAAGATTTCTTATTCATTATTTTAATATTAATAATAAACCATTAATACATTTAATTATAATAATATTATCGTGCCGAGCGGGGACGGAACGGAGACAAAGGCGCAGTCGTCAGGGTATCGGGGAATACGGGGTTTAATTACAGGTAAGGCAGGCAAAACGCAGACGGACAATACAATGACCGGACTGGGGAAACAAACTGAAACACGAACGAAATACAGAGGACTAATGACAACAACCAGAAACAGCTGGCACACGGAAGCAGCAGACGATTGGGGCAGGACACTTTTTTTTTTTTTTTAACCTTACACATTGTTTGGATACATTTATTTTCTTACTTTACAAATTACTGTTTTGCTACATGTGCTTGGATGTGTTTAGTACAGTATATGCTCTTCTTGTTTTATCCGGTACATTTTGTGTTTAAATGCTAAAAAAAAACATATTTAGGTGTAATTTTTTGGTGCCGGGAACCAATTAATTGGTTTTCCATTATTTCTTATGGGGAAAATTCTATCCGAACTCGAACTTTTTAGGATTCGATCCGGAGTTCTGAACGGATTAAGTTCGATTTCTGAGGTACCACTGTACATGGAATGGCTGGGGTACTCCTGAGGAAAGGTTTGGGGGAAGAAAGCAGTGTACATCTAGCCATCCAAGAAGATATTGGGAGGAGCTCAAAGTAGAGCCGCTGCTTATCCGCATCAAAAGGTGCTAGTTGAGGTGGTGTGGACATCTATCTAGGATGCCTCCTAGATGCCTCCCTAGGGGGTGCTTTGAGCATGTCCAACCGGGAGGAGACCCTAGGGCAGAGCCAGTACATGCTGGAGAGATTATATCTCTTGGCTGTCCTGGGAGCACCCAAGTCTCCCCCCAGAGGAGCTGGCTGGGGAGAGAGAGGTCTGGGTATCCTTGCTTAGGCTGCTGTCCCCAGAACCTGGACGTCGATAATTGGCAGATAGATGGATGGGTGGGTGGATATATGTTCCTTTGTATATATTTCAGTGTTAAACTAATATATAATTACTACCCAGATAAATACTTTTAAACATTTTCTTTCACTGCCCAAGACCTTCTGAGTATAAAAAATGTATAAAAAATACATTTTTTATAGTATAACAGTTTACATGTGTTGATTGTAAATGGTGTAAAGGTAATATTGACGTCAGGCCACTCATTTATTTCTACAGCAAACGGGATCCGGCTCTGAGGGCTCAGGCCAGCCTCTGCAATCTCCTGGTTCCTGCCTGGAAAAATTCTATAAAGTCCCCTTTATCGAATGCCATGGCCGCGGCACCTGTAACTACTACAGTGATTCCTACAGCTATTGGCTGGCTGCGCTTAACTCTGACAGCATGTTCCAGTAAGCTATTTGAAGTGCTCTTTCCACCGCTTACCTAGCAGTCTGCAAAATCCTGATCCATTCTGCATACTGCTTGTCTGTCACCTGTCTGTCAAACTGGGAACTGCTCCATGGTAACTGTTGACAACCAGTGAGTCTAATATCTTAAAGATATCTGTATAGAGGACGAAACATGACACATAATCATAAATAAATAAATCAATCGAGGTTTATAGAAAAACAAATGTATTTTATTTATTCCAAAGATTTTTTTGAATTGCTTTTTTTATTTCAAAGATTTTTTTATCCATCTGTATGTAAATGAGTTGGGCAGTCCTAACCCTTTTCTAAAGCACTACTGGCTAGGGGGACTTTGAACATAAGAACATAAGAAATTTACAAACGAGAGGAGCCCATTCGGCCCATCAAACTCGTTTGGGGAGAACTTAACTAATAGCTCAGAGTTGTTAAAATCTTATCTAGCTCTGATTCAAAGGAACCCAGAGTTTTAGGTTCCGCTACACTAGCAGGAAGACTATTCCATACTCTAACTACACGCTGTGTAAAGAAGTGCTTCCTCAAATTTGTTTTAAAATGTTCTCCCACTAATTTCCACTTATGGCCACGAGTTCCGGTATTTAAACTAATATTGAAATAGCCATTTGGCTGAACAGCATCCAGACCCTTTAGAATCTTATAGACCTGGATCATGTCCCCCCTTAGTCTCCTTTGCTCAAGGCTAAACAGATTCAGCTCAGCTAACCTCTCCTCATAAGACATTCCTCTAAGACGAGGAATCATTCTCGTAGCCCTCCGTTGCACCTTTTCTAAGGCAGCAATGTCCTTCTTAAGGTATGGTGACCAAACCTGCACACAATATTCTAGGTGGGGTCTTACCAAGGAATTATATAAATGCAACATCACCTCCCTTGACTTAAACTCCACACACCTAGAGATATAACCCAACATTCTATTGGCCTTTTTTATTGCTTCCCCACACTGATGAGAGTGGGACATGGAAGCATCAACATACACACCGAGATCTTTCTCGTAATCAGCTACCTTTATTTCAGTGGAACCCATAAAATATCTGTACTTTATATTTCTGCTCCCTGCATGGATTACCTTACATTTATCTGTGTTAAAGTTCATCTGCCAAGTATCAGCCCAGTCACTGATTAAATCCAGATCCCGTTGTAGCCTCTCTGCTGCTAGATCAGTGTCTGCTACACCACCCACCTTGGTGTCGTCTGCAAATTTAACCAGTTTACTGTATGTATTGGTGTCAATATCATTAATGTAAATTAGCAACAATAGTGGTCCTAAAATTGAACCTTGCGGTACCACACTATGAACGCAGGCCCACTGTGACATTGTGCCTCTAATGACTACTCGCTCCTTCCTGTCAGTTTTCGATCCAAGCTGCCACAGTTCCTAAAACCCCTGCAGCTTTGAGCTTTAGCAAGAGCTGTTTGTGGGGGACAACATCAAAGGCCTTCTGGAAATCTAAGTAGATCACATCGTAGGCCTTTTTGTGATCAATTTCACTTGTAGCTTCCTCAAAGAACTCAAGTAGATTCGTTAAACAGGATCTACCTCTCCTAAATCCATGTTGGCTATCCCTCAGAATGTTATTTGCATCCAGGTAATCTACCATTTTCACTTGGATTATAGCTTCCATTATTTTTCCAGCAATGCTAGTTAAACTGATTGGCCTATAGTTTGCTGGATTACTTCTATCCCCTTTTTTGAATATGGGTGTTATTATTAGCATGCTTCCAATCTGAAGGTACCACACCCACAGATAACGATTTCTGGAATCTGATCTGATCTGCATTCCATTACTTTGGCCTTGCTTGGATGAGAAGAAATGCTAACTGGCGTTCATGTTAGTAATGCTAAGTTCACACTACATGACTTTCCATATCATCAGATTGCTAAACCCCGTATGTATGGGGTTCAATTTATGCCAAAAATATGTCGATATGCACACTGTCTATGTCTACTGAATATGTAACAATACATTTGCCTGTCATTTCAACTTTAAACGGTACTTTGTCATCTTAGCACATGATGTGTCATCCTCCGTATTGTTTGGCTGTGTCGTTTTATATGTCGTTTTGATGTGTTGTCTGACTGCTGTCCTGCATGTCATTTTGATGTCATTCTCCTTGTCATTTGACTGCATCATTATCCATGTTTTCCTGTGATTTTTGTCTGTGTTTTTTTGTTTCTTATCCATCATTATGCAATTTAAACATGTAACACGATAGGGAGGACTAAAACTACAAAGTGCAATTTAAAGTTGAACTGTTTTGTAAGATGTGCAATCAACAGAGACAATCTCATTATCAGAATAGATTTGTCACAGCTGAAGTACAGTTCAAAACTGAATAGACACAGACACATGTTTTGTTACATGTTCAGTCAACAAGGACAATGAGCTATTGACATATTTTTAGCACAAATGGGAACTCCATATGCATGTCAACATGTTTTTGGCACGAATGGAACCCCATACATATAAATGGCTTAGCAATCTGACGAATTGGACAGTGATCCAAGCAAGGTCAAGGTAATGGAGCCCAGATCAGCAAAGCTCCCCTGGCCAATGGTACTTTAGAAAATGGGTTAGGGCTGCCCAACTCGTTTACATACAGATGAATAAAAAAATAACTAAAAAAATTCTTTGGAATAAAAAACTATGAAAAATAAATCTTTGGAATAAAAAAATAAATTCCTTTATATATAAATCTGTGGAATAGAAAATTACATTTATTTTTCTATAAATCTTTGGAATGAAAAATGAAAGACATCCTCTGACCCTAGAGTCATTCCCTGCTGTATAATACAGAATAATTAACTAAATTGTGTGCTTCTATATGTTACATTACTTATTACAGATAGGTAGTGTAGTTTTAGGAGATTTTTGGACATTGTCCTTAAATTGACTTAACAGTTAAGTCTAATGTTGCTTATTTTACAGGAAGCCAGCAGGCCGGACGATAAAATCAGACGTTCCAGGAAGCCTCATCAGCCGTTGTCGAGTTTGTATGAAGCAATAACTGTAATAAGCTGTACTTATGGCAATACTAGGGTGCGTTCTCTGATAAGTGTCTCTTAGCGTATTACTAAGACTTGAAAGATATACTTTATTCAAGTTGTTTATTGTTCTACATCTGTTCTTCAAACTGTCCCTAAGAGTTTGCCTAGGGATAGCTTCTTAAATGTGATGTATCTACGCACCCTCCATAGGGATGGTGCCAGATTGGTTGACACTGTTGACTCAATTATTGCTTTCATGCATCAACTGCTTGACTGTGGCATGAGAGAAAGAGGTGTTCTTTATAAATATAACACAGCAGGACTGCTTCAGAATATTACATTAATCAGAACTGAGAAACTAAAAATAAAGTACAAAATTAACAAATTGAATCATCTAACTTCAGGAACCCACCTCCTCAAATCTATTTTGACACCATTTAATTTTTGTTTGTTCTATAAAACATCTGTGTTCACCAATATGTGTGTATGTCATTGATACTGGGACAAGCAATGGCACAATTTCCAAAAGAAATGTTGCATTACTGCCTTATAAGAGAATGTCCAGTGTGCTACAATGACTAATAACTATTCCAGGGTGTTTTTGAGGAAAAATACATTGGACTTGTATCTGAATGTTCCTGCAGTGTCAACTCATTAAAATCATGAACCAAAGTTGTGATATAGTATGACTTTCCCTCAGTAGAGAAGTATGTCTATTGCAGGGATGTCAAAAATAGGGGGGGCACCCCCCTCAATAAACAAACAAACAATAAATAAATAAACAACAAACAAATGAATGAATTTTCAGCTGATATTTTGGAAAATATCATTGAAAAGGAAATTACACTACTAGTCAAAAGTTTTTGCACATGATATTTTCTACATTTGCATGTTACTTTTAACATTTACAAAAATACACTGTTCTTTGCTAACAAATAAATTTACCATATGTTCACGATTTGAGTACCTTTATTAGCAAGAAAATCTTTCATTCATCAAATTTTGAGTACATTTTGGTTAACAGCTTGAGATCTAACTAGGTAGAACTGCTGATTTCAGAGGCATGCAGCCCAAACAGTGGGGTCCTCTAGCAGTACGAGTTGACAGCATCGATAAGTGATAGCTAAGAGTGGTTCAGATCAACCTTACGAAAGTATGTCTGTCATGAATGCGGGCAGCTCGAGCACGGGCGCGAGGCATCCGTCACAAAAAGGGGCGGATGGCCCACTGGCGGCTTCCAGGAACAAAAAACGGGGTTTATTAAATAAACAGAAAACACAACAAACACAAAACCAAAAGGACCACAAGGGTCAAAAACTAAAGGGGGTAATAAAAGACTTAATATCACAAATAACAAAAACTGGGAAGGTAAACAGAATACAGATCTAACCGGGGCGGCCGGGACAGAGCAGAGGCGACTGCCCCCTGTGGGCCGGGCGCAGGCGGGCGGGGCATCGCGGCAGAGGCGGCTCCCTGTGGGCCGGACGCAGGTGGGCGGGGCAGAGCAGAGGCGGCGGCCCCCTGTTGGCCGGGCGCGGGTGGGCGGGGCAGAGCAGAGGCGGCGACTTTCCCTGGGCAGGGCTCGGGCATCGCGGCGGCGGTAGCCGCGGAGACTTCCCCTGGGCAGGACTCGGGCATCGCGGCGGCGGTAGCGGTGGAGACTTCCCCTGGGCAGGACTCGGGCATCGCGGCGGCGGCATTACGAATGCTTTTCTTGCCTTGCCCACTTTTCAATACATCTTTTATCCCTGTTCCACCCAATCCACCTTTTCTTAATTCTTCCATCATTTTCCTCCTTTGTTCTTCATATCTTCTGCAATTTATAAGTACATGTTCTATGGTTTCAGGTGTCTGACAAACCTCACAAAAACCAGTAGGATGCTTTCCTATAATGTGTAATGTACTATTCAGGTTACTGTGTCAAATTCTCAATCTTGTCATTACCGTTTCCTATCTTCTAGGCCCTCCCCAGTTCCTTTTCGTTCCAACTTTATTTTGAATGCCATATAAATGTCTCCCTTTAGTTTCCCTATCCCACTGCTGTTGCCTTTCTCTCACAGCTTCTTTCCAAACTATACTTTTCCCTTCAGCTTTTGACATTTTTATATATACTTCAATTTTATCTTTTTTAGTTGCTTGCTTGGCTAGCTTATCCACCCTCTCGTTTCCCAAAATACCTATGTGAGCTGGTGTCCAAATAAGTTGAATCTCTTTACCTTTTCCTTTCCTTGTAGCAATATTGCATACACCAGATCCTGACGGCTATTGGACACCCCTGATCTGAGACTGTACAGTGCAGACCACGAATCACTTCCAATCAAGATTTTACTTATTTTTTCTTCCTTTCCAACCCATTCTAATGCCATCATGATGGCATATAGTTTGACTGTATACACACTCAGTTCATTTGATGTTCGTTTGCTTTCTTCACTTCCCTGGTTACCTATAACAATTGCAGATCCAGTCCTTTCAGATTCAGGATCTTTTGATCCATCTGTGTAAATCTCACTGAGGAACTAAACAGAAGCAGGAACTAAAATACTAAAGGGGTAACGAGACTGACACAGGACAGGTGAGACTAATTAACAAAGACCAGGGAAACAGGGCACAGGTGAAACTAATAAACTCAAAGGAACTAAAAAACAGGGAAACTAAGAACTAACCAAGGAAACATAAACCAACACTAGGGAATTACAAAAAGGTAAAGACAAGCAGGGGCACAAGGAACAAAACCAAATACAAAATCACCAAATACAATAACTAGAAACACTAAGGAGCAACATACAAAAACAGGAGGCAGGATTCAAACACAGGACAGAAGGGTACACAGACAACCACATGCTCAGGGATGGGCAGTATTTTAGATAAATGTATTTAAAATACGTATTTGAAATACAAAATAGTATTTTGTATTTTGTATTGTAAAGCCTTTGGGGAAAATCTAATGTAATTTGTATTTAAATACATTTAAAAGATGAGTATTTTGTATTTTCAAAATACATAAAATACTTTGTGCCAATCAACCTCTTTATCTGGGTGCTGATTTGGTTCAGACACACCCCTCCCCCAACCTTAACACTCATACACGTGAGCTGCCTGCAGCAGAGTCAGCATTGGATCAGCGACTTTTCTCAATTTTCTGCATTAAGGTAAGGGTGTCATCATGATCAATTCCGTGTTGATTAAAGTTAAAATGGTGCATCATTCAGATTTGCCTTCAGTAAACATGAAAGAATAAAAAAGCACCGACATGTGTAGGAGGAAAATAGCGTAAGCTGCCTGTTAGCCAATCAGTTTTGACAGTTTTTTTTTTAATCTATCAACTAGCTAGTGAAATGTGTTTAAAACATTACTGCATGTTAGGGCGGGGTGATATGACAGAACTTTATATATCTTAGGCAGCGATGATATAAAGTGTGAATCAATTAAACTTTTCAAAATCGTTTACATAGGCCTAGGTCATTTAGAGCAAATAAATCCTTGCAGTGTTTAGTGGGGCAGCAGGAATTATTGGAACATTGGGGTGGATAAAGAAGCATGAATGAATGAATGAATGAATGAATAATATAGTGTGATGTACTTGGTTCGGTTGCACTTTGCTGTTTAAAGCGCGAAAGGAGATTCATATTTACACTTGCACGTTGCCAGGTAAAGTTTTTTTTTTTTTGTGCGCACACTCCGTGACAGAGTGGAATGCCGACAATGTGCCTCATTATATAATTCTGTAAATCGCCGGGGCAACTCGGTAATTGTTCTCCACACCAAAATAATCAAATAATCCCGTTAAATGCAGTATTTCAATTTGTAACTTGTGATTTTAGAAAAAAAAAAAACATTAATCTGTGTAACACTAAATTGTATTTTTTTAAATTCATTAAACATTTTCTTTTAATTAACGAATGTATGAAACATGGACCATTACTTTATTCAATATTTCTGCTATGCAGGCTCATTTCGTAAATTTTAAGCATTTTACAAACATGGTGCTTAATAAAAATGCCATTTCCATGCCATGCAACATTTCCGAATTGTGATTATGTTCCCCCATCTATGCAAATGATTGATGTACAGACAAAAGAAGGTTAATCACTGTCTGTCACCATCACTTTAATGTAGTGATTGTGTGCATTTGTTATGACACTGATGCATGATGCACAACTCTTCAGCTTTTAGATTTATTCTTCAAAAAAAAAAAATAATAATACTTTTTTTTATGAACTTTCTAATTTTAACAAACTGTATATAGAAGCAAACTTTACATTAAATAAATATAAAAGCTGCTATGCTTAAAAAGTATTGTACAACCTGCAAAAAAAAAAGAAATTCAGTTAGTTTTTGATGTGGTTTTAAAACTTGCTGTGAAGTAAAAATTATATTTTGGTCATATTGCCCATCCCTGTTCTTTGCCCGATAGCAGAAAAGGTTGCCATCCATCCATCCATCCATCCACTGTCCAACTCGCTTATCCTACTGGGTCGCAGGGGGTCCAGAGCCTATCCCGGAAGCAACGGGCACGAGGCAGGGAACAACCCTGGACGGGGGGCCAGCCCATCGCAGGGCACACTCGCACACCATTCACTCACACATGCACACCTAAGGGCAATTTAGCAACGCCAATTCGCTAGAGCGCTGTTAAAGTCCACCAGCAGATCGTCCAAGTAGATTACGCACCTTGTCCTTGGAATATCCCCCAGAACCCTCTCCATCAGTCTCTCGAATGTGGCAGGAGCGTTGCACAGCCCGAATGGCATATACCGGAACTGCCACAGTCCCTGGCCGATTGAAAAGGCCGTCTTGGGCCGGGCTTCCGGCGCTAGTTTCACCTGCCAGGACCCGTTACGGAGATCGAGGGAGCTGAACCACCGAGAGCCCATGATGTAGTCCAGGGCTTTGTCGATGCGGGGAAGCGGGTAGGAGTCCTTGCGCGTGACATTATTCAGCTGTCGGTAATCCGCACAAAACCTCCACGAGTCATCTTTTTTTTTTTACCAGCACCACCGGTGATGACCACGGGCTGTCAGATGGCTCGATCACTCCCGCTGCCAGCATCTCCTGGAGCTTGTCCTCTGCTGCTGCTTGCTTAGCCAACGGCAACCGCCGGGGACGCAAACGGATCGGCAGTGCGTTTCCCGTGTCGATATGGTGCTGAACCAAGTTAGTATGGGTACAGTCTCGTTCGTCGGCTGCAAAAATGTCAACGAACTCATCCAGGAATGCACGGAGTCTCTGTCGCTGATCTCTGTCTAGTCCCTCGCAGCTGCGCATGAACAGGTCATCCATGGCCTCGCAAATTCCCCGGTTAGCGCTGTCCTCGCAGGCCTGGGTGGAAAAGAGACATGGAGGCAGGGGCTGGCCTCACCCAAAGTTTGTGCACATCCTCCAGTTGACAATATCCACGACCACGCCCCACTTCTCTAGTAAGTCCAGTCCAATGATGCAGGGATCTTGGATATTCCCAACGAGGAACTTGTGACTGTCGGTGTAACCCCCCACGGTCACCTGCACAGCCCTTTTTCCTTGCATCACCACATGTTCTCCCGTCACCTTGGAAATCCGTAACTTGCTACCGACCGCACCGGAAACACAGGTAGCGTTCATTTCTGGCAGTAGACCGCTGCGGATAAGAGAAATAGTAGCACCAGTATCCACCAACGCACCGCACCATACTGAGCCCAGTGTACAGTCCACATATAGTCCGTCGTGGTGGCCCACATGTCCCACCCGTAGACTGTTCCTTTCCGATGGGGAGCAGTTGCTAACAGAGGGGGGCGATTTCCCCACCACGTCTCCCTG